GAGGGGCAGCCTGGGCGCATTGTTGTTGCCAGCTTATGACCGAGCACAAGCCGCCATGAGATAGTTTATTGTTCAGGGACATCTAGAAACCCTTCTTTTTAGGGACGTAGGTTCCCTGGCGCACATTCTTTTCTATGGACGACAGCAGTTAGTAACTGCTGTCGTCCATAGAAAAGAATGTGCGCCAGGGAACCTACGTCCCTAAAAAGAAGGGTTTCTAGATGTCCCTGAACAATAAACTATCTCATGGCNGCCTAATCCACCCCCAGGGACTCATCAGAACTAAAGAGTTCTGATGAACTAAGTTCTCATGAACCTTTGTGGGAAAAGTACTGCGGTGTGAAGGCGCCTCTTGGGTGCTTTGAAAGGCGCCCCTAAATAGAATGAATTATCATTATTATTTACTATCTGAAACAATGTAATAACTTTTAAAACTTTTTCCAGTCACTTGCCCCATGCATTCAGCAGCAGCAGGCCATTCACTTTGATTTGATCCCGTTATGAAATGTCATAATTTAGACAATAAATAAATGCTACATAAACGTTATCTTGCACATTTTATCTAACCATCTCCGTTTCTAACTTTCAAAATATTTTAAAAGAGATCTCTCTCTCTCTCTCATGTGCGTGCGGGGGCGGGGCCTCACAGACATGCTGCATCTCTCTCTCGCTCACAGACATGCTGCAGCGCTGTGCAGTGTGCACACAGTTCTGCCGGTAATGAATATTACATTTTGTGAGGAAACTTTTCCACCAATAATTCCAATGAGTATTCCAAAATGTATTCACTTCAGGTTTACGAAAGTAACTGTAATCAGATTACTCGTTTTTCAAATGTAACGCCAGCTGAATACAGTTAGCCTACTTGATTTTTGTATTCTGATTACGTAACGCCGTTACATGTATTCCGTTTGTGAGACTGACCGTTGAGCGGCCCGACGAAGCAAGGAGGCAGAGGCAGAACGTCCAAAATTATAACCCGGGGTGGGCATTTATTAAAACATGAACATATTACACACAGCCTCAATCCTGCTGCTGCTGCTGCTTGCTGCTTGCTGCTTGCTGCTGCTCACGTGAGCCCAGCCTGCAGCCACCAGGATCTCACACACACTACCACTCAACACAGACAGGGAAAACAGAGCCTAAATACCCACACACCAATCAGCACAACAAGACACAGGTGAGGGGGGAGGAGACAACACAGGGTACCAGGTGAACACAATTGGGTAATCAGTAGGAGGGAACACAGAGACGACCGGAAGCAACAGACAAGATGGGGGTGAACACTTCTACCATTAAATAAATACTACATCAATAAATGATATAAACATGTTCACGAGAGCTCTAGTAACGGCGTCTCCTCGTTACATCCCCCCCTTTTCTCCTAAAGCGCACAGTACCTCCATTTTCATCAATGGCCCACTTACAGTGTCTTAACAGTGTCGTCGTTACACACTTTAAGAAGTTGTCAACATCCCAATTTGAGCACATTTAAAACCGACAATGCTTAGCAAATTGGAGCATTCCTTAAAGTGCTATATCGTATAAAAACTATTTATTAGTGTAAAGGATATTTGAGTGACTTTTCCACAGGGACTTATTTTGTCTCTTAAGTCGGATTTATCATTTGAAACCAATAAAGGAGCAAAAGAAAAATATAATTTTCACAAATCAGGATAGTCGATGGTATGTTGGTTTTAGATCTCATTGAGGGTAGCTTTTATGAGCAAAGGTATTTCTCCACATGACGGTTATAATCCTGAACCTCAGTCTATTAGCAGCCAATCACACTTAAAAACATCCTTTTATGTAAAAGAAAATACAAAAACAATATCATCTATGTGTGTGTGTGTACTGTAGGTACTTAGGGAGCGTTTGGGAGTGCAGTGCTTGCTGGGACTCACAGCTACGGCCACACTTTCCACTGCTATGGACATCGCACGACATCTGGACATCAACGATAAAGACGGCATCGCAGTCCGATCTGCGGCAGTGCCTCCGAACCTGCACCTGTCTGTGTCCATGGACAGAGAAAAAGATCAGGTGTGTAGGGTTGCATGTTTCTTGTGCCTTTCAGCAATGCATGGAACATAAAATGATGCTCTGTCTAAAAATGTAGTCGGTGGAGAAAAAGTATTTTCCAGAACTCCATCTGTCCCTTTGTCTCTCTATGGACATTTTATCTTTTATCTTTGTCTTTCCTGTCTTTTTGTATAAAGGCTTTAGTGTCCTTGCTGAAAGGAGATCGTTTTGGTTGTCTGGACTCCATCATCGTCTACTGTACTCGAAGAGAGGAGACCACTCGCATTTCAGCGCTGCTCAGGACCTGCCTGCAAGGGGTGATCCTGAAAGAAAACAAAAATATAAACAGCAACAGTCGGGCAGAATACAACCCTGTAGGGCAGAAAAAGAAAGACTTGGGTAAGGATGGAATAATACTTATTTTTAAAAATAATAACTTATTTATATCTAATGCAGAGAGAGGGGATAATGGTCGGGGCAGAGGTGTAATCAAATATGCTAGATTTCAATCCTACATGACATCCTTCAAAAAGCAGCACTCTCTTTGACTTGGTGCATCTTCCATCTTCCATTTAGCAAGGAAGAAGATTCGTAAACCTCTGAAATGGCAGGCGGAGTCGTACCATGCCGGCTTGTCTTCTTCAGAGCGCCGTCGCGTCCAGAACAACTTCATGTGCGGGGAGCTCCGACTTGTGGTGGCCACTGTGGCGTTTGGCATGGGCCTGGATAAGTCTGATGTCCGCGGCATCATCCACTACAACATGCCTAAAGTGGGTAGTGATCTTATTTATTCAAAAAACAGAAGCTTTTCAAATGTTATGTGATCACGTTGCAACTTCTACATATTATCTGCAACTGTATCAGGTCTGAATACATTAATCATTTATGTGGCCAAGAGCGAACCTCTTTTGATTGTGGGGGAAACTTCTGAAGCAATTGGGAGTCAGGACTCAGAGAGAGACACGAGGAGAGCTGGAGCTTTGATGGCAAACACTGACGGTTTATTTGGAGCTTCGGCCGGAGAATTCAAAAGACATGTCACGGGCCACGGTTTGACCACACGGTTGAGATGCCACAAAAGAACTCTTCTGTAGTTCCAGGTTTTAACTAGTTCGGAGTGTAATAATCAACATTCTTTATCAGCGAGACTAAACAAATATGGACCCTGA